TCGTGGCCTTGATAGTCTGAGACCACCTAGCTCCCCTGTTAAGCCAGGAGGGAGGCAGAGAGGCATGAGGACAGACAGACAGGGTTGAGGACATGGCCTCCTGGCCACTGGTCTCTCTCCAAGACAGGTGAACTCTGTGTTCAGAAAAGAACCCATCTAGTCTTTTGGTGCTAATGGAGGGAAGCTTATTTGTATTTTCTCTCCGTCTCTCTCTCTTTTTCCTCCTCTTTCTCCTTCCCCCCACCCTACAGCCTCCAAAGAATTTAATCTGCTGGACAACAAACAATACTGTTATAAAACTTTGAAAACAAGAGGGAGAGGCCTCCCTGACAAGGAGAAGGGCATGCTGGGTAACGGCCCGAGGGAGTGTGCCAGGCCGGTGATGGAGCCGGGCGAGAGCCCAGTTGGCTAGGTAGCTGGGCTCCTGCTCTTACCGCCACTCCACCCAGCCCACCGACAGCACTATGCCCAGTCCAGAGAGAAGTGAAACAAAAGCTGGGGGGGGCAGACGGGGGTGGGGGTTGGTGGGGGTGCTGGTCCGTCCGAGAAGCACTTGAAAAGGGAAGTTGTACTGTGTTCCCCTTTCTCTGATCTGATGGGAATGCACTAGACTGAAACTTCCTCCCTCCTCCCTCCCTCTGTCCTCCATCCCTCTCCCCTCCTCCCTCTTCCTCCTTGCTGCTCACTGCTCCTGCTCTTGACACTGGCAGGCAGAGGTCCTGATAACCCAATGAGGCTGGAATGGCAATGTAGGTGCCACTTCCAGCTGGGCCCGCTGAGCGGGAAGCGGGAGAGAACAGAAGCTCCTCAGAATTGGTTTTGGACTCTGGACCTACCGCCTGTCTGACCTAGCCTCCCTTCCCCCAACCAGGGAAGTGGAATCGAGTCACAGGGTGTGCCCCAGCCCGTGCACTCTGCCAGGTGTGTGCCCAGGTACCGGCTAGAACTGCCCTTGGGGGGGTGGTGGAGATGCACTGGGCTTCCTGGTGCTCGCTGGGTGGAGGCCGTGCTGTGCAGGATGCCTGGCGTGGGAGATGTTCTCCCTTCTTTGGGAGCGGAGGTTGCTGCAGCAGTTGGGGCATGTCTCTGCAGGGGCTCCTGGGAGCAGGAACGGGCTTCTCCTGGCAGGCAGGTAGGCAGAGGGACTGGATCGCCAGGTGGTAGGTGGTAGGACAGATCTTCTGGCTACTTCCAGGGAGTTCTTTGGGGGGAGGTGGGGGTGCTGGTCTCGGGGACTTGTGTGCCCTGGCCTCCCGAGGCCAGTGTTAGGGGCCTTGCAGTTTCATGTCCAAGTCCTTCTTCCCAGAACCAGGCCATGCATTGGGAGTGGCAGGGGGACCCGACTGGAGGTTTCTCTTGGGACTCAGTGTTGGCCGGGACAGGTGCATGGGAAGGGGGGCACTGTGTGTGTGACACACCGAAAGAATGCGTGCGCTGCTTTCCGCTTGCGTCCTGGTTGCCTGCAACACAGTTCAGGGCTGTGGCCACTGCCCTGCCAGAGCTCAGCCATTCAGCTGGGAGCACTCGGAGCCCGGAGCCCGGAGCTCCAGCCTTCCCGCCCTCCTCCTTCCTCCCCCTTGCCTTGCTTCCTAACCCCCCCACTCCCCCACCCTACCCCACAGGGCACAGTAGCCATCCTGACCCTCCCAATGGCCCTGTGCTGAGTCTGGGGGTTTTGAACCCTATATTCTGGCTGGTAGTGTTAGGGAGGGATGGGGAACCGCCTCACTTTTTGGAAGCAGCTGGGTAGGAGCACACGCCACCAGGAGTCCGCGCAGGGCCCGGGGCCCAGTGTGTCCAGGAGCTGGGACTTATTGCCACGTTCCTGGGGTGGGCTTCCTAGGGACAGGCACAATGGGGCTGGAGCAAGAGCAGGAGAGCCCCACTTGGGGATCCAAGGCTTGGGAAGCAGGGTGGCTCCTGGGTGGTGAGCCCTCCAGAAAGAAGAGTCAGATGGAAGCCTGGGGGTGGGGGGGACGCCTTTGAGCGTCCATACACTCCCTGCCCAGCTCCCCTCCTTGGCACAGACCCTCCGTTTTATCACCCTTTCCTCTGATTCATTAACCACAGCGAGTTGGCAGCAGCCTGTACCCTACCCTGACAGCTCAGACAAAATGTCCAGAACATGCGGGCCCGGCGTGGGCTAGAGCAGAGGGTGACAGGAAGCTGGGCTGCCTTCTCAGTTCACAGAGACAATGGGCGGAGGGCAGGGTGCCCCCCCCTCCCTGTTTGCAGAGGGCCTAGCCCAGCCCTTCTCGTCGCCCAGGTCGGGAACCCTGCAGCCAGCATTCCCAGTGGCTGTGAGCAGAAGATGGACGCCCAGGCTGGCTTCCGGCCCCTCCCCCGCCGGCTGGAACCTGCCTCAGTCACGTAAGGAGCTGTGACTCAGCACCTAGCAGCGGCGGCGGCCGCCTGGGTCAGGAGGGAGAGCGGCTGCCTTGGCAGGAACCCTCCCCTCCCCTTCCCTCCCCTTCCTTTCCCTCCCCGCGCGTGTGCGCGTGCGCTCGGATTCCTGAGTCCAGCACGCTGCGCCTCGCTGCTCGCCCAGAAGCCAGACAGCAGGAGCGGACTCTCGGGGGGCCGACAGCTGCTTGTTCAGTGGGTTTGCTTGTGGATTTCACAAGCCAGGGTCCTTGCCCTCTCCAACGCCCTACCTTCATCTCTCTCTTGGGCATCTGCCACGTGCACCGAGCTAGGCATAGGATTTTCCAGACTTGAAGAGACCCCCACCCCCACCCCCGCACCCTGTGTGGCAGGAAGCAGAGACCTCTTTGCCATCTCTGGACCTTTGTAAGCCGACAGTCTGTGAGGTGTTCCCAAGGCTTCCAGCTGGTTTGCGCCTGGAATCCACACCACCATGTTCTGATTAAGACTTAGTCCTCCCCCACAGAACCAAGGCTATTCCATCCCAGGCTAACGATCTACCTTTTCCCAAGGATCTGGGCTGGAAGCACACCTACTTGCAGGGGGTTGAACTGGAATGCACCCCCTGGAGGAAGCCCTGGTTTGGTGGGGCTCTGCCAGGGTGCTTGTAAGGCTCTGATTGTGCTTGTCTCCACACAGCCAGCCTCTGCAAGTCTCAGTATTCCTGCCGCACGCGCCTGGGAGCCACCTGTAAGCACTGGAAGGCCCAGCGACCGGATTGCCCAGTTTCTCCTGTCCACAAGAGGCACCAAGGCCCAGGCAGGGGAAGTGGCAGGCCTGTTCCTGGGCTTTGGGTCCAAACAGGAATCCACACCACCATGTTCTGATTCACTGCGGGGTGACCTTTCCCGCACCCTCGCTTCCTTGCCCAGGCAGAGTAGTGCCCTGGAGCATGGGCACAGGAACAGATGCATGTAACCAACATGGCTGCAGGGTGGCGCCCCAGACACCCTCCCTGTGTGGTGGCACCTCCCAGGGCTCCTCCCACACCCGCTGGCGAGAGCTCCTTCCTTGACAAGCCCAGCCACGCTCACCCCCATTGGCTACTCTTGTGGGTGCCTTGAGCCCAGGGAGTGAGAGGTGGCGGATCCCCTTCTTCCATGGCGAGACCTCAGAAGCCAGGACCTGAGCACTCTGCCTTCCGACAGATCTAGGTGACCCTCGGGCTCAGTGTGAGGAGAGCCAGCCGCTGTCAAAGCACCCACCGTGTCCAAGTAGGGACAGAGCCAGCGGGTGTCAGGTAAGGGTGGCCAGCAGAGGAGCTTGGTTCTGTGGGGGAGGACTAAGTCTTAATCTTCGACTTTGAAAGGGTGAAGGGTTACGGTGCTTAAATTACTTTTTCCGTTTCCTTCTTTTAGAATGTTCTAAGTGGTGCATTGCTAATGTTGGATTGCCTCCTCTTCCAGTGAACGAAAAGTGTTTTAGGATCCATGTTTGCATGTTTGGGACCTCTCAGCTCCGCTTCATATTCCCGAGAGCCTTGTGTGGTGCAATGACACCCCACCCCTCTCCCCACAGCTCTGCTGGTCTCAGTGGCCCATTGTGGGTCATCGGAGAGGCATACACGATTACATCCAGGCCCAAATCAGAGAGGCGTTGTGAAGGAAGAGAAACCACTTCTGTGGACAGCTGGCTGGTCCTTGGGCCAGGCCTCTGCTCTGGGCAACTCTCCTGAGGAAGGGATTGGTGAGCAGAGAGCAATGCCACCTGAGGGCGGTCGTCAGGGTGAGGGGTAGACTAGAAAGAATTCCGGAAAGGGGCCTGCATCTGCAGTCGCCGTGTGGAGGCAGGAGGCGTGACTCATGGGTCACTGACAGCCCCGTGCCACCACCCAGAGGAAGAGGCTTGCTCTCTGGTCCCTGCCAGGTAGAAGTTGCTAAGAAAGCATCCATTGGGATCCACTCCACGACAGTGAGTTGGCGGGGTTTGGGTTCCATTTTAAAACAGGAAGAATCTGCAGTAAAAAGCAGATTAGCTGAGAAGAGCCAAAGGTAGAGCCCACCCAGCCCTGGGACCCTGGCCCATGGGCTTCCAAGACTGTGAGGCTTTATGGGACTGCCGACTGCCTCAGCTTCCAACCACTCTATGGGTGGGTTTGAACCACTGACCTTCTTAGTTAGCCACTGAGCTCTTACTCTCTGGGGCCCATAAGAGCACCCAGCACCCTCCTTTTCCAGGATTCGGGTCTCCAGGTGGCCCCTCAGAGCCCCTGCCTGCCATGCAAACCTGGCCCTGGGCTTTCT